ATACATTTTAACTTTAAAGTTCTTTCTACTTTGTCTGTGAAGAAATGTTGGTAAATTCTTGTTTTTAAAATGCATAACAGCCTCATCATCAAATTCAGTATCAAATCCATTCCCTCCATGAAGAGGACCATGTTATCCTTGGCAGCCTCATCAAAAAAAGAAAAGAGATGACAAATTTAATCGAGGACCATGAAACCAGCTTGAACATAGAGGTTCCAAGCTCTTTAACAATTTTTTTAAAGAAGTGAGTGCTCTTTAACCCTGTCATGTTTGCCTTTTCTACTTTCGTTATTTTAAAATGCATTTTTGATCCTGAATTATAAAGAAATGTGAAAGTTCAAATAGGTTATCATTATAGAATGAACCAAATAAAGTTCTCACTGATCCTTATAAAGGATGACAGATGAAGGATGTTGAATTGGAACTATTTTATCATGTGTGAATGTGACAGGAGGTTATGATAGTTAAAAGAGATATTCAAATATACATTCCTATTTTCTTGTTTAGCCTTTCAAAGGTTATTTCATTTGATAACATTGTCAAATATCCTCTGCAATATCAATTTGTAAATATTAGTAATTGCAAACATTTGTGAGGTCTGACAATACTGATTACATTTCTGAATCAAATCTACTTTTGTGATAGAATTGTTGTATCAGTTTGGAGCACTGAATTGAATTGAGTGCTATCAAATTGTTTTAACCATTTCATGAGCTTTGGGGTATGTGCAAAAGCTCTTTCCTTTGAATCAGGTCAAGAGTCTGAATTAAATCCACTTCACTGATAATTCAGTTTGGAAATCTTGATTGGATCAATTTAGTTCTCAAAAATAATGTGAAATTAATGTTGGATAATGTGACATCAGATTAAATTGATTTACTATCAAATTAATAAATTGAAACAAAAGGTCCTGATATATATATGGAAGCTAACTTTTGCAAAAATAGCAAACTTTGATTCACAGCATCTTGAGTCAGAATTAAAACTGGGATAACAGTGACAGGAATGATTTGTTTTTCCGTTTGGAAAAAAAAAATCCCTATTTTTCTTCTGCTGACATGGAGAAATTTATTTGGCATTCTTCTTTATCAATTTTTTCTATTGCAAGTCAATCATTAATATATTTTATTTGGAATACAGAAGTATAAGGTTTGTGGGCAGAGCTTGTTGTAAATCCATTTCGATCAAGGAACATCAAAAGAAATCAGTTGATTGTCTGGGTTAAGAGAATTTTCTACATGGCAGACATTTTTGCCTCCAAACCCTTGTGAATTCAGTTTATAAGGCAAACATTAATCAAAACTATTTTGACTATTTGCAGATCACAACCATGGCTGTGGTCATATATATGTTAGTAAACCAGAATTTCTGCTGCTGGCCACTAACCAAGCAAAGACAACAGTATACATCACTCATTGCAAGTTTGTCAGCCAGTGCCTCATTCTATTCTCTCGAGTCTCATCCTTACGCACATATTTTAATATTTTAAGTAAAAATTAGTCCCAATTTTAAACTTCTGAAAATTCACTGCAAATCCATAACTGGCTTAATCATGCTGACGTTCATATAAAAAAAATTGTGTAGAGTAACAATATAATTATTGGAATGTTATTTAACAACTACTATTTTTATAAAAAAATGTGCAAAATCAGTTGGTAACTAGCCTTTTGATGGAATTATTTTTATTATACTTTCCACCTTCTTATTTTTTTTCCTTAATTTCTTTTGAAAAGAGCTTCTTCTTTTAAAACTGTCAAACAAGGGGGAAAAGATTAAAATGAGATTGTTTTGGCCTTTCACTGATGAAACAAATCATGTCAGCCTGTATGAATATTTTATATTGCCATTAAACATAGTTTATCATTTATTCACAGTTTTGTTTGAATAAATTGGCATGGCAATGAAATAAAGATTTCTGTTGGATGGGGAAAACATTGAAACTTCTTTGCTTTGTGGATGTCATTTGCATTTGCTCCTCTAATATTTTTTGCTTACCCCAAATGAGGTAAAATTAGTTCTCTGGTGTTTAATTGTTCTTAGTTTGCAAAGCCTTTGCAGCTATATTTAAAATCAACCCTTGTTTCTCCATTTATCTGTGCAATGTGCATATAAATTAGCTATTTCATATATGCACGTGCATTCACTTCTTGGAAAGAAATGGATTACATGCAGAGACAATATAATTGAGATCAAATTATACAACTGAATAATGATATATAATTTTGGCTTTCCATAAGTATTGAAAGAGGTCCAACTGACACAATTCTCTTATGTCAGAAGAAGTCAAACCAAACCCAAAGCTCCAGCAGAATACTCAGTATGTACTGTAAATCTCTTCAGGTTCCTGCACATATCATCAATAAGGATAAATGCTGTATAGTTTTGGAATTTAGTCAGTCAAGAAAGTCTGGAGATAAAGAACTTTGCATTATGACAAAAGAGCAGTTTGGAAAATTATCTATTTTTCTATTAGCTACTTCTCAATATTTCTTTAAATTGGTGGACTTGCAGGATTGACTATCCTATTAAACAGAATGAACCAACTGCTTTGGTTCTGGAATATGGAAGCCCCTCACTTGTTTCTTTTCACTTGAGATTACAAATGTGTCATTCTTCTAAGTGGCCTGGTAAAAATTATGATGCCATCATCAGTACTAAAGTAAGTTTCAACTGGTATGGTAGTTCAGTCAACCAGTTTGATTGACTATCTTTTCCTTCTTGGCTTCATGCAAGAAAATAGCCTGGGCCAGCCCTGGGAAGAGGATCAGTGCTTCTTTTTTAAAGAGCTGCTTTGATGATTTTGAAGTCAATGTGTGATTGTCTCATAGAACAGTTGCCTTGGGACTGTTGATAGTTATAAACTGGGAAGGGATAATGAAAAAACTTATTTGCAGATTTATTAATCTGACGGTTCCCTAGTAAAGTCATTTATAATAGGTTGCTACCAGATGAACTTGAACTTCTTGGTGTTTATCCACTGCTTCCAGAAGTTGCTTTGTATATTCCTGCCCAAAGTTTAGAAACATGGAACATAAGAAATCTTGTCCTAGTTTTGAAGCACAAGGGATACCTACCCAACCATGAAATCCTGCATAAGAGAAACGTTTCAATGAAAAATACCTTACAAAACCAAAAGGCAAATTTGTAAATTAAAAAATAAATTTATTGGGAATAGGAAAAAATGAAAGACGGAAGCAATCACAAATAAAGAGTTTCACATAAAACAAATCAGCCAGTTAACTAATCTATTTACTGTCTCTTTCAATAAATCCTTGGATTTCACTTCATGTTCATTACAGAGATCATCTGGGTCCCATGCTTGGCTGTTTGTAGGCAGAGTCTTGTTCCTTCCCAGCACCTTATTTTTTGTCCATTCTTAATCAAATCATATGAAAAATTAAGAGGGTATGCCATACCATTCTTCTTATCTCCTCACTCTTAGATACTTTTTATTAACATTGCCTTTTGGGGGATGAAGCAGATATATACAATATACTTCCAAATAAAACAATGAGTTATTGCCTTTTCCCCTTTTCTCCCTCCAACAGTCAGCTGTGCTTTAGTAGCACAGCCCCAACCAGCCCCAACATCAAAACCAGCGAGTGAACTAATGTGCTGGGATTAGCCAGATGAATATCTGGTAGGCAGAATCCCCCCCCCCCATTTTCCTCCCTAAAAACTAAGGTGCATCTTATACTCTGGTGTGTCTTATACTCCAAAAAATACGGTATATGCCTTCCCAGAAGAAATGCATCTGGCATTCCTCACTGCTTATCTTTAGATATCGCAAAGCAGCCTCTTTTTCTAATAGGCATTTTGTTCTGAATATTTCTAAGCATTTTTCCTGCTCGTTTAAAAGATATATAACTGTGTAAGGTTGCATGTAAAATGGATGCACTCCTGTCCAGATAGAAACTGGCTCAGCCCTCACATGGTACAAAGTTCAATGTGACATTTTTCTGCAAATCTGACGGCATGTTTAACAGTTATGCAAATATAAGTGTTTACAGGTTCGTAATAAGGAAACTGAATATGCTTGATTGTCATGTTACGCCCTCTCCCAGGTGCTTATAAATTGCTCTGATGACACTTGGATACTACCGGTATATGAATCAAACAAATGAATCAATGGCAATCCAGTATCTAGGACAGGGATGGGTAAACTTTTTATCTTCAACAGCTGCATTTTTTTCAAGACTGATTTGTCAAAGCAGTATGGGAAACTGTGCTTAAGTGAGCAGAGATGGGCGAAGGGACCCAAATGGGTGAGAATATTGATGTTAATATCAGTTCATCCAACCCAATTAAATCTTTCTGACTCCATCTTCTTCTCTCCTAAATGAGTGATTGCAGAGGCCTTTTATAAAGGCACCAAGGTTGCTACAATAGATTGTACTGCAGTGGTGGGTTTCACTTACCTTTGCTACTGGTTCACTCGTGCATGTGCAGAGCATATTTGGTGACATCTGGGCATGTGGGCGGAGTCTCCCACTGCCGCTACTACCAGTTCGCCCAAACAGGGGCGAACGAGTATCAACCCACCAATGTTGTACTGTAAGTTTGTTTGTTTGTTTGTTTGTTTGTTTGTTTGTTTATTTATTTATTTATTGGTTCTATTTATATGCCGCCCTTCTCCAGAGACTCAGGGCAACTTACAATGCGTTAAGCAATAACCTTCATACTTTTGTATATACCTGCTTAGTAGGGCTTTCGACCCCCCCTAAGCGGTGTTCTTTTTATACAAAGTCAGCTTATTGCCCCCACAATCCGGGTCCTCATTTTTACCTACCTCGAAAGGATGGAAGGCTGAGTCAACCTTGAGCCTGGCGAGATTTGAACTTGCAGTAATTGCAGGCAGCTGATGCTACTTAATAGCACTTTAGTCTGCTGCTCCACCAAGGCTCATCCTTAGTCTAATAATGTATGAATAATGTATAAAAGGTACTTATCGGATCCATAAACTTTTATGAAAGTGTTTTTCTCAGTCACTCACACTCACATACATCCTTTGTATATTTATTTTATTTAGCATGGCATGTAAAATTAAATAGCGCCCATGTTTTTTCTTTTCTTTTCTTTCCCCCGCATTAGTCGAATTTAAATAGCACCTTCCAGACTGTTACCTGAAAGATGATAGAAACTTTGTCAATTTAACAGTCCATTACATTTTGAAACATAATATCATTCTCAGCCATGGCCCTTTTAAGAAAGGAGAATATTATTTTCATATTCTTCTCCACTTAAGTAGATTTATTTTTGTGGCTGTCATGTCAGAGGATTTATTATACCGTTTCCCCCCCATTATGTAATATCTTCCATTCTTCAGACTGAAGCCGCAGTATGAGGTTTTCAAAGCCAGATGTGTCACTGTGATGTCTAATTGCTGTGAACTTTTTCTAGAGAGTTAGGTACTTGACTCTTCACTGAAATGCAGAAAATAAGGTAGAAGTAGCCACATCTTTCTATGCCAGTGCCTCCTTTGACAAAGTGTTCCCACATTTTAGGCTTTATCACCAAGGGACTCTACTAATACAACACTTTCTCCAGCTGTCCAGTGGTGGGTTTCAAAAATTTTACTACCCGTTCTGTGGGTGTGGCTTGGTGGGCATGGCATGGCTTGGTGGGCGTGGCTTGGTGGGCATGGCAGGGGAAGAATACTGTAAAATCTCCATTCCCACCCTACTCCAGGGGAAGGATACTGCAAAATCCCCATTTCCTCTGATCAGCTGGGACTTGGGAGGCAGAGAATAGATGGGGGCAGGGCCAGTCAGAATTTTTACTACTGGTTCTCCGAACAACTCAAAATTTCCATTACCGGTTCTCCAGAACTGGTCAGAACCTGCTGCAACCCACCTCTGCAGCTGTCCCAGTAGATATTTAAGCTAGATATGCTCTGTTCTCAATTGTTGTTTTGCACTCTATCATTTCCTGAGGGAAAGACTGGATTTTTTAAATTAACAAATTTACCTTTATAATTGTATTGTTTTAGAATGATAGAGAATACAGGTGGTCCTCAATTTACAACAGTTCATTTAATGATCATTCAAAGTTACAATGGCACTGAAAAAAGTAGCTTATGACCAGTTTTCACCCTTATGGCCGTTGTAGCATCCCCATGGTCATGTGATCAAAATTCAGACCCTTGGTAATAGACTCATATTTATGACGATTGCAGTGTCCCTGAGTCATGTGATCCCCGGGTCATGTGATCTTTTGACAAGCAAAGTCAATGGGGAAGCCAAATTTGCTTAACAACAGTTTGATTAATTTAACAGCTGCAATGATTCACTTAACAATTGTGGCAAGAAAGATCGTAACATGGAGCAAACTCACCTAACAAATGTATCACTTAGTAACAGAAATTTTTAGTTCAATTGTGGTTGTAAGTCGAGGACTATTTGTATTATATCATGGATGAATACTCTTTTTTCTGGCTAATCTAACCATGGGGAGAGTGAAGGTGGAATAATCTTTGACATTTATTTATTTTTTTTAGATTGGATTCTAACATTACTGTATTCTGTTCTCTATTTAAAGACATAGAGACACTGGCTTTAAAATTACTGTTTTCAAAGTCATGCACCTGAACATTTTTCTTATCAAGCATTTTAATTAAGTGCAATTGAATAAGTAAGAATGATGGTGTTATTATGCATCTTTTCCAATTTGGCTTAACAATGAGCATCTAATTACATCTTATGGTGAGTCACAATCCCAAGCCTTAGAAGAGATAGAAAGAGCAGTCTTAAAGTCATTTGGTAGATATTTTCCAAATTTTTAGTGCTCTGTTAATTATATGAGGCTGCAATTTGCCATTAAATTAGAAGAGTTTACAATCTTGAAGCTCACCTTCTACTGAGCGAAATCCTATATTTCTCCTTCAGGCTATGAACTGAATGACACAGGCCATAAATGTGTAGGGAAAGAGAAAGATGATTTTTGTAGAGCTTTCTTTCTTGTGTACTTAAAAACAATTTCTTTGGGTGAAGATGCTGACCATGAGATTCAGGTGACAGCTGAGAAGTCCAGAAAAATGGCCAATATCTCCAAGCCAGGATGAATTGTACCACTAAAAAATTCTGTTTTACCAAGGATCCATTGTGATGGTTTTGAATTGCTTCCCTTATTTCCTTTCTCCTACAATCAGAAACAGGTCCAATGAATCTTAGTGGCAGCATCTGATCCAAAGAAGCATCAAATAAAGTTTCCTGACTGCTGGAAGAATCATCTGATAAGGAGGATAAGTAACATTATAGAGTCTAAGAAAGATATAAGTAAGTAGTAGAAAGCCAAATATATCAAAGCCATGAATAAGGAAGGGAAAAGATAAGTAAAATTAGTTTACCCCACCAAGATCCAGTATGTCTCCATAACTTTTTTTCTCATTATGAACCATTCTTATTCCTATCATGTGCACAAACTGCTTCATATATTGCCTTAGTGCCCCTTTCTTTTTCAGGATCCCATCAACCCCATCCAATTATCTCCATCGTTCCTTTCCTCTCAATCCATTTCTTCATATATTTGCTTTGTAGTTCAATCCTCATTCATACTCCCCACATCATCAAACCATCTCCGTTCGTATTGTCAATGATATATACTCAATCCTCATTCACGCAACACCATTTTCTTCTTCTCCGTGTTTCTTCCCCTTTTATCCTATACACTTTTTAGCTGGTTCCATTCCCTTCAACTTAGTTCTGTTTCATCTGACATGTATGACTCCCACTTTCATGTCACGTTGCACAGTCATTTTCAGTTTTCAAGGAATATTAATTTCTCACTATAGCCCACATAGAAACAATCACCTATCTATCAGTGTGGACTCTCTTAAATTTTCTCTGTCAATTTCCCCATAAACATTCTACCAAAGCATATCGTTTTTGCTCTAATTTTCTGCCAGATAGATAGATAGATAGATAGATAGATAGATAGATAGATAGATAGATAGCCCTTACAACCACAGTTGGGACTACAATTTCAAACTTGTGCTTAGGCCAAGGCTTTCCATTCACCTCTTCCACTTTTTGTTTTGTCGTTTTTCTTGTATTCACTAAAAAATGTGGTGCTCACAGAACTGGGCCTCCTTTCATGGCACCAAGGGATCAAAATGGTGTGACCTAGAAACGTGTGATTGTCTATGTGAGGCTATGGGAGAGATAAAGAAGGAACATGAGTTTTTTTGTGTGGGTGGGTGGGTGTGTGGGTGGGAGAGAGAGAGAGGGGGGGGGGAGGGAGAGGGGGAGAGGGAGAGGGAGAGAAAAAGAAAGAAAGAAAGAAAGAAAGAAAGAAAGAAAGAAAGAAAGAAAGAAAGAAAGAAAGGGGGTAATAGAAAAGAGAGATGTGAGACAAAGAATGTGAGACAAAATGGGAGACAAATGTGTCATAACATTCTTCAAGAGCAAGTAATTTGGAGTTTGGCTCACAAAGCTCATTTATTGTCCCTTGTCAATAACAACAAAGTGATAATTTCTTCCTTCTCCCTCTCTCTCAGATTGGAAGTAGAGGTTTTTTGGGTTTTTTTTTTTTTCCTGGCACCCATAGAATTCTTATAGGATTGGAATAGACGTGGAATCATATTCCTACTTAAGAAAAAGAGCATATCTGACCTTTCCTCCTTGCTTCAAACATGATTCAAAAGAAGTTTTCTAATGTAACCTCCCTCAAGAAACAAGAAATATCATCATGGGCGCTTGACAACAAGTGCAACCACTTGGAACTCAAGATACAGAAAGATCTGTTCCAGCTTTCTCTGCCTATCTCCAAGGAAACCTCAGGATTATCAAATATCTGAAGAAACTATCTACAGGCAATCGCAATCTGATGAGAAATGCAGTTTGCAACTAGATTCTGAACAGGTCCAAGGCAGTTTCAACCTACTGACTTTGTCTAAATAAAGATACACAGGCCAGTGTTCCTAAAAAGGTTTTGGCCAAGATATTCAAGTCATTTAGCTTGTTTCATCTGGGAGAGATGAGGACAAGGACATAATCCTTCTTGTGGAAAGTTTGATTTCATTTCATATTTTTCTGAAAAATCTGATCATTATAGACACATTAAATGTCTATTGCCAGGTAAGGCAGGAGGGCTTTACAGGGGAGGGGGAGGGGGAGAGAGAGAGAGAGAGAGAGAGAGAGAGAGAGAGAGTGTATACACACACACACACACACACACACACACACACACACAAATACATGCATAATATATATATCCTAAAATTGCAGCTTTACTTTTGTTTAATGGGATATTCTTATAATTTCAGAAAATGAATTTAGAAAGGTTTATAGGCCATGGCAATTATCCACTCTGACCATTATGATAGCCTTTTAAACTTGATTCTATTGCATTTTATTCTGTTGTTTTAATAGTCAATTATTGAAATATCCTGAGAATCTCAGGAATATAGACATCAGTAAACCAAAGAAACTTATTTGACAATCAATTGTGTAAAGTTATCACGATGTTCATGATGTGTAATCTATTATATATGTTAGCATATATGTCATTGGAGATTTTTACATTATATATAATACACAGTACAGTGAATATTTACATATATCATGAAATCCAGCTACTGGAGGAAACCAGTGAGAAGCTGCTCATGTGCCATGTCCTGATGGGGGTTTTAAAACAAGCATCTGAGTTGCCTATGGTAACTGCCTCCAGGACTAGATAGGCCTTTAACAGTCTCCTCCTCCTCCTCTTTTTAGGGCTGCCTCTAGAGATGTCAAAACTTTTACTATGCAATTCTAAAGCAGATTAATATTTGCCAGAATGAACACAGTTCTAGCAGTGACAAGAATCTGCAAGTATCCATCGTTCTCCATTCAGAAATCTGTATCAGATAAATCAATGGTTATGAACTAACGATGTGTCTAAAAGGAGTATGATTTTTTCAAGTTATTGATTATGCTTATCATAGCATTATGCAATGGATCATTTAGTCTTGAAAAAATCTTTAGGGATATTAAAAAGGATATTTTAAAAATCGCATTATATTTTTATATAGCTCGTTCAAATACGATTTACATAAAAGCTTCATCTATATTATTTTTATTCATGTATACTATATTAAGAGAGTATACAAAAAGCTTCATATTTCAGAGCAGGGCAGGAAATAGAAGGAGATTTTAGATTTGTATTTTTTTTAAAAAATGATCCATTTGAAAAGAGAAGCCTCACTAATGAGAACATTAGTATGGAATATGTTTCCCTTTTTCATACAACACTAAATGTAGATGTTGCTTCTCTATAAGATTATGTCTGATATGGTAAGAACATGAACTGAAGTTGATTTTCATCTCACATACACACCATACACACCATACACACACACACACAATGTTTTTGTGACACAGTTTTTTTCTTAACTCACCTATAAGAATTGACTCTATAGCTTCAAGCATGCCGTTTATCTAAATCTCGATAAGTTTATCTAGTATATCGTGTCTTCTGAATCATACAGTTTCTATGGAAAAACATCAAGAAACCATCAGCTAATGTAGACAAGCAGCCTTAAACAAATACATATATACATGCATAACATTTTCTAGGCTTTTCTCCTCTATTACAAAGCTAGATAAAGTAAATAAATTGTTGCCTGGGGGATTTTAACAGAAGGTGACACCCACGAACATATCACATGGCAATGAAATATTACAACTAAATATACAATTGAAATACAATTTTTTTGAAAAAGAGAGAAGCTGCATTAAATGTCAGAAGAAATTATAGGCTACCTTCATCTGAGTTCAACAACATGCAATTCGGATAAGAAAAGTTATCTCAAGTTCTGCATCCCAAATTCTTTGGGCAGACATGGAAAGCATAAAACTTGAGCAGCTCATTATATCCATTATAATAAGTACACCATGTTTTGAATGAGATGAAATATATATATATTTACTTTAAAGAGAAGAGGTCATTCGGGTATAAGCTCACCACCTTGTCCTGAAATATTTGAATATAATCTATGGTGCTGAAACATCTTATTACAGACAGATGGACAGATGGACAGAGACTTTCTTTACAACAATAATCAACACAGCTTAATTGATATACCTACTGTTGCTATTGCAATATTGATTCTGAATGAGCAGCTCTCATTCATTTTAGAAATGGCTTCAACTTCTATTTTCAATCTTTTCTGCTAATTGCTTATTTCAGTGAATAAGACATTATCAAAGGTGCCCATGTAATTATCTTCAGATATCTGGCAATATATCATTTTTTCCTCAAACTACATCAAAATAATGCATACAAGAACAGTCTGGATATCCGTATTAGAGGTAGTCTTCAACTTACAACCAGAGTTGGGACCAGACTTTCAAGCAAGGCAGTTATTAAGTGAGTCACCCCTGATTTTACAACTCTTTTTCACTCTGATTGTTAAGTAAATCATTACTGTTAGGAGAATCATAGGACAATTAAACCAGAGCAGGATGGAACCCGTTAAATGACTAGCAAAAATGTGTGTTGTCACCGGGGTGAGAGGTGAGGGGGTTATTATTTTATTATTTTTCTTTTTATTATTTTTGTTTCTTTTACATGGTGTTTTTATATCCTTGTAAGCTGCCTTGAGTCGCCATGTAGGCGCCAATATAAATTTTCTAAATACTTAAATAAAGTGAATCCAGTTTTTCCTAATGACTTGCCTTGTCAGAAGTCATCTGGGAAGGTGGGACACTGAATCTGTTCTAAATTCATGCTGTTTGCCAAACAACCTGTATTTTCAGCACATGACAGTGGATATGTTGTAATGTTTGTAAATGCAGTTAGTAGTCGATGGTCACTTTTTTCATATTGTTAATGGCTGCTGAACAAATGGTTGTAAGCTAAGAACTACCTATGTAAGTTGAGAAACTTGATATTTTTCTTTATTAGCAGACACATTTTACCTTAGTTTGTTATAGAATGCACATTTTTTTCTTGTCCACTGCTTTTTTACTAGTTGCCCCAACTGCTTATTTTTGGTGTGTATGTTTACACAGTTTATTGTAAACACAACCTGTTTATTTATAGCAAAAGCCACATAAATAGCAGTGCCCCAGTGATACAATTCCATTCAAAAAATGCCAGTTGGATGTGTTCTTATGAAAATGTGTGGAAAGAATTCTCCTTCTAGGCCTTTTCTGAGGGCCTAGTCAGAAACTGTGCTCTTCCTCTCAACAACACAGTATTTGCTATGTGTATCCTATGACTTTTAATCTTGTTTCAAGTAGTCTTTCAAACCAGTTCAGAGAGTGACCTACACCCTTTATTTAATTGCTTCTACCATCTCACCCTTCGGTATGTCTTCCTTCAGTTCACTCCCAGTAGTGTCTTCAAGGAATAGAGTCAACGGTGTTAAGATGGCAACTATAGTAGTGGGATTGTCAACATTCTACAAAAACATTAAGTGATAGGGCTTCAACTCTTGCCTTTCTGACCACTGTCTGTCTTTTTTGACATTCCCTTTCCCTGCAGATATTGCTACCTCCCTTACACTATTGTGTAGAGCCATTTCTTGGAAGTTGCTTTTCTTCATTGCCATCACTGAGCTACAGTATCTTTCTTATCTGCTCCCCAAACTCTTCCAAACTCTTATTGTTTTATTGATTGATTGACTTGATTTGATCTCAGGCCACCCAGGTCCAAATGACTGACCAATTTACAAAATGTCAAACAATATAAAAACACTACAGTAAGAAACAACAAACATCAATGCCAAACTCAATCAAAGGGGAAAAAAAGAACAAGATGATGAGCCTGAAAGACACCCTACCAATACCTAACATCTAATGAATGGGGCTTCACCACTCCAGCCCAAGGCCTGTGGGAAGAGTCAGGTCTTTATGGGCCTCTGAATGTAATAGGATGGGAGCCATTTGTATTTCAGAGGGACCCTTATTCCAGAAAGCAAATACTGTGACAGAGAAGCCACATTTCCTGGGTGCAGATGAAAATTCAATTGAAGAAATCTAGAGTGCCTCAACCTTGGATTAAATTTTGTTTAATCAATCACCACTGATTTTTTTTTTACAGAATACTTTTTGAAATATGTATGCCACTGACTTATTACATCCTTTTGCCTTGAGCTCAGATATTGCTTTGATAGAAAATATTCCAGTTAGAAGTATAATTTAGATATCTAAAAACATCTGTTCCAAATATATTATTGCTGCTGAAGGGGAAAGCTAATTTTTCTCTGTCTTCTGGATCTGTTACAGTCCAGAAACCATCTAGCTTCCAGCTAAATTTGAGTAAATATTCTATACTGTATTCTTCCTTTTTATTAAGAAAGCATGTTAGTCAAAGTCCAGCATTTTAAGAGCCATCAACAGAGAAGATATTACATGTCTAACTCTAACTAATGAAATAATAATCCTAAAATTTCATTTTTCCCATTCTTAGTGTAGAATAATTCCTAGACTGTATTTTGTGAATGGATAAAGATTTATTCTAAAACATCAGATGAGTTTACATTTCTCTTTACAAATCCCTCCCCCTATTCTGACCTAGGCTTTCCCAGCAGCAGGAAGCTGAGTCCTCATCCTGATAAACCACTTTTATTTAATTTACAGTGAATTCCTCTCCAGCAAAGTCTTTCCTCTCCAGCAAAGTCTTTCCTCTCCCACAGTCTTTCAAGATAGTTCACAATTACCGATCTTTATCAGGCCAGGCCAATATCTTTCAGACTCCATACTGTAACCGACAATACTTGGCAAAATGCAGGAACAGATCTTCACCCAAATGAACTAATTGTCGCCTGCAAATTCCCCTCCCCTTCGCTCCTCTTTATTCCTTATGGGAGGGGCCATTCACCGTCCACCTGTGGCTTTACTCCTGAGTCGACCCTTGTTCCTTAGCTGTTCCCTTCTCCTGGCAGCTCTGTGCATGCACACACTGGGAACAGGATTCAGCTGTTGTTCTGCCTCACTGATGTCCAACTTCGAAGGCAGCTAACAATTGTCAGATGGGCCTGGCCCCATCTCTGCCTCCAACACAGAGCCCTCGTCAGAGCCTTCCCCAGACTCCAGGACTGGCCCATGTTCCTCCCCAATCTCCTCACTGTCCTAATCTGCTGCCAGATCTGCTGGCGGGCCACAACGCTCCCTATTCCATTTTTTTTCCATGGAGAAGAGATAGGCAGATGAAAACAAAAAATCGACTTGTATAATACAGGGACGAGGTATAGCCTAAGGTATTTTCTGCAAGATATTGCCCTCCTTTCCTTGAGGAACTCAAATGTTTCCTTCAGCAGCTCAAACTTCAGCACCCTTGTCCAGTTTTCCTGTGCCACAACAATCCTTTGAAATGGACTGGGCTCAGAAAGAATGAATGGGAAAAAGTCACCAACTGATCTGAGGGTTGATATATTCACCTTATTAAATGTTATACATTGAACATATGTAAAATAATGACTCTGTTTCAGTCACCTGAACCCATTCTTTGAGCATGATAAGTACAGTCAATGGTTATGCTAGCTGATAATTGATGACCATTAATATTGGTAAAGAAAAGGAAAAGAAAGGGCTAAATAGTGTTTGTTGATCACCTTTTTTGCTTTCTTGTTAAAGCTTTATGACTTTTCACTCTGTGGTTTGCTTATTTTGGTATTAGTTCCATTGCAAAAAGACTGCAGACTGAGAGAATAGACTGAGCTGCATCCATTATTCCCTCAGTGTGGCTTTTAAGGTTGTAATTTAAGATTAGCATAGATATGGGAACTGAACAAATACTGTTCCATTCCACATATAACTTAGCAAGGTTGAGGGACCACAGGGGCCTTTTAGCGGCCTCTAGCACAGCTTGATGGTTACCTAATATGCTTCCTGCTTACATAATGTTCTTCTTGTAAATTGCACTAGGGCCAGGCTATACGAATGCATTCATATAAAAGAGTATGAATGATGAAAACAGATTCATCAAAATCAAATGACTTAATTAGTGCCTCTCCCAGTGCGTTTCAATTGGTCTTTCTCATGGTCTGTTTTGTGGGTGATTTAAGGCCCTCCTATTAGTGGCATCCTAAATGTGAGATTTCCTTTCTAGGCAATTAAGATAGATACCAACTTCCATAGGGTTTCAACAAATTAGTCCCCCCCACTTCATTACAGTGTTTGGTTTGATCCATGCAATTGTATTTTCCATTGCACTTGCAGTATGGTTCTATTGCCTTGTTGAATTTTGTACTTTTAGGTAAGACTTCCCAAGTTAAAGCAAGTAATAAACTTTGCAAAGAAACAGTTAAGTATTTAGTCCCACTGATTTCCATGTGACTCAACCTACAAAATAAAAAAAGGCCCAATCAAGATTCCTCAGCCAATTTCAATTGATGGACAACACCCTCCTCCCCAACAACCCTCTCCCCTCCCACAAATCTGGTGCTTCAGGTCAGCCAGAATGTAACAATAACATCGTTATTGAATGTTCTTTTTTTAAAAAAAAGTTGATAAATTCAAACAATATTTCGGTTAATTTTTCCTCAGCTATTTGCTGTTTCAAAGATGGCTAGAGATACCTTTATCCCACAAAGGAAGGATGAGCTGATTCAAATGACTATTCTCTGTGGGATACTGTTACTATTTTGAGTTCTTCCAGCTGTGTTTCTCATATGGTAGATTTTAACAAGCAGAATTTATTTACAAATGAATTTGTGCAGATTCAGATGTGCCTACTTCTCCTAAGAGAATGATTTCACTCTTACATTTTAGATGCATACATTTCTTAAAATGAATGGGTCTTAAATTAAAGTTGAATAACACATTCAAAAATCTTTTTTTTTTTTTTTTGCAAAAAAAAAAGACTATAAAAGGTTGCTTTTGGAAAAGCAATCTTTGCATTATAATTAATCATGGGCCGTTTTAAAATACCTTGAAGATTTTCACAGCACATTTTTGGAGACTTGTCTTTGATTCTACCATTTCTACAGCCTAATACACCTTTCCCAGTGCACTTCCAACTGAAAAACTGGTGCTCCAGGCTTTTCGACCAGTCACTAAAAAAAGTGTTGTAAATTGAGGACTACCTGTACTAGGATACAGGGACCAGTGTATGCCTTCTAAATGTGGATTAGTTTATAATTAAGAGTTGAGATACAGAATGAGGAGTTTTACATGTGCTAATGAAGGTTTAGAGCTCTGTTTGGACTTCATTATTTATTGGATTTGCCTATAGTTAGGACTTGAGTTATAGGAGAGATAATTTTTTAATCTGTTAATTAAGAGGAGGTGAAGAGATCACAAAATTGTTTATACTTGTTATGATGAGGCTGGGAAGTTTCTTTTATAGGGGAATTTTTTCCCCTCTATTTTTTATTTTATTTTTCTTTTCTTGCACATTTATTCTATCTTTCCATTATTTATTCAAGTATTAGGAAAATTTATATGGATGCCCAACTCACAGTGACTCCAGGCAGTTTATAAAAATGGTTTATTTTAGTTTCTCTTATCTTTCACTATTGTAATTAAAACTTTTAATAACATTTTTTTAAAAGGATAAAGGGCAATTTCTATTTCAGAAGACAGAAATAGATACGCTACCATTAGGCAGATCACCAATTGAATTAAGCTATTCAGTTCATGCTATATAATGAAACTGACATTCTTGATTTCAAGAGAAAAAGAAAAGGCAAATAATAATTATCTAGAAAATGTTGCTTGGAATGTATCTGTGCAAATTTCTGATAGCAGTCCTGATATGATGTATCTGTTGTAAAGAGGATGAGATTTATAACAAATTCCAAATCTAAGGTCTACATGCCAGAATTCCAAAGTTGACTTCACTTTGTTCTGGGAAACAATCTACTTATATATTAACCACAGACTATTTTTATATGACACCAACATCTTTTTATTGATTTTAAAAATCATATCTATTCATTATTATTATTATTTTATGATTGAATGCCCAAGATTTAAGATACTCTATGAGGCTCAAATGGCTTTGACCAAGCTAGGTTCATTTTGTTTCAGCATGAAGAAGCTGCTCTTTAACACATAAGGAGATTCTTAAGAAGTTTGCACTTCCTGACATAACCCATTATCCCTCTCCGAAGCCATCATTGTTACCATTGTACCATTGTGCACAGCAGTTTCGGATTTATGCTAGCTTGTGCATTGAGAAGATAATAAGAGAGGATTTGTGTGTGTGTCCTGGTTCATGCAAAAGGCTAATAACACAGTACAAGTGGACCATGAGAAATTATCAAGAAAAATGTATGTGAAGAGGAATTAATTGAAGTGTAGTTACTTCTAAAAGTAGTTGAAGGATTGTGTGTGTGTGTGTGTGTGTGTGTGTGTGTGTGTGTGTGTGTGTGTTTCAATGTCTTAATACAACATTTTCAACAGGGCTGGCCTGGAATGGTTACTGA